TTTCTGGACACAGGGCGGGCCGTTTGGGAAGATGCAAAACCTTCCCATACATCTTGACTGAACAAACTGCCCTCCCTGGCTCCAGAACCAACCAAAAAACGACCGAACGGACAAAGAATGCTGCAATTCCTACCCTTTGCCTTCCCCCTCGCACTATTCCTGGACAGCAGCCAAGTTTCCCCAAACCGCCTTCCCTGGCTCCACAACCCTCCAAAAAGCGACCAAACGGGTGAAGAATGCGTGCACTTCCTACCCTTGGCCTTCACCCTTGCACTTTTCATGGGCAGCTGCCAAGTTTGCCCAAACTGCCTTCCTTAGCTCCAGAACGAACCAAAAAAGCACCAAACGGGCAGAGAACGCTGCAATTCCGATGCAATGTGTAGAGAATGCTGCAATTCCTACCTTTGGCCTTCCCCCTGGCACTTTTCATGGGCAGCTGCCAGATCTCCGCTGAATCACGCGCTGTAGCTCCGAAACCAGCTGAAAATCGATGATTCGAGCCCGGTTGCGGCACTTCTTGCTGAAATGTTCGTTTTTGGCCGGCGGCGCGCGCGCTAGCGCGCGCGCGCGCCGGTTCTTCTTTTTTAATGTATTACAACGGGTTCGCAGTGTAGGCCTTAACCAACAACAACAACAACCACAACAAAAACACACCTCTCTCAGCTTGTCTCTTCCCAGGTCTGCCGCAAGTAAGATGAAACCAGTTGGTATTGGGTCTCAAAACCATGATTCAAGCAGTGGCCCCATTTCAAGAGGGTTGCAAGACACGATGGCTTTGGTTGCTGGGGTGCCAGGTGCTAAGCGACGTGGTGACAACTCACCTCGCCCCTCAGGTTCCAGAGCCTGCCTCTAGGCTTTCAGTTCAGAACTCGTCAAGATCTAAGAAATTCAGGATTTTGGGATGTAGGCCTTGTAGTGTAGGATGCATCCACTAAGGTCCAGGTAGCCTCCAAGTCTGATACTGTCCATTAGCATACAGAACGCCCAACAAAATGTGAGGGATTGTTATAATCAGTGTTGATAAGTAAAGGGGAGAAGAGTACTCGACAGTACACATGGTAGTTCCCCACACAGGTGGACCCCAACATAGACCCCTAAATACTATAGCCCTTACAATGGGGACCCCCAAAATGGCACCCTTAATTTTGGCAAATTCCCGCACGCACAATGTTGCAATCTGCGGTCCAAACGCAACTTCAAGCACCTGCAACTAGGGGCGAGGGTCTCAGCTACAACAAGTACGTCATCTGATCTACAGGCGCCATTTCTTGTGGGCTTCCAATTTGCGAAAGGGATATAGACCTCTTGTACATTCCTGCAGTAAGGCTGTTAGGCCGCGCTGGAAGATCCTCCATCTATCGTGTTGACATTCGCTCATCTGAGGCATCTGCTGGTCCATACGGCGCGCCTGGGGCCTGTCTGCATAGAACACGTATGATTAGTCGCCATGATCAGGTTCCTGTCCCGCTGGCCGAATAATCAGCCATCTAGCTTGGCTTATGAGGATACTACAAGGATCGTTAAACATGCTGAGCCGCCACAGATTGGGGCGGGTAAAGCTTTTTGGGGGTTGATTCTTGAGACTTCTGCACACAGGCATCAAACCTTAGTGTATAGGAAGACTGGTTTTGGAGTGTGCGAACGATTTTCTTCGTCTGGCTTCTCGTGCATCCTTCCGTTAAACATTCTGCCTCTCCCCGACTACCAATGACAGTCAGCATCCCGACTCGGCAGTGAAAATGGCAAATAGCAATCAGAGTGCTGCTGGTGTCAACTAGATCTTGAACAGTGGGATAATTCAGTCGCTGCCTTCCCCTCACAAGTTTTCCACATAAGTAGACCGTGCAAGAGCAATGCTACCGCTGCTTGCTTTGGAGAGCCCAACATGAATCTGAATGTGAGACTAAAAGCCAGTTGCCCCTTGGCAACCCCCTGCTCTTCTTCGCCCTGTCGGCCTGTCCAGGAGGCGGATGCCTCAGCAAGGCTACAATAAACAGCACATGGCGGCCTTGCCGCGCTGTTGATGCAGCAATGCACCATAGCTACCTCTACTTTGTTGTGTCCCTGTCTTTGCAAGCTAAAAGCTTTGTCAAATGGGACCCCGGAAAATGTTGGCAACAATGAATGACAAGGCAAACGATGATGTTGGTGAGGGTGGTCGTGATGAACAGGTTGCATGTTAGCACTCACAGAAACTTGAACTTTCCTGAGGCATGCACCCTGGCGGCATGCCATGCGGCGGTGGTGCCCCATGTGGTGGTGGGGCGCCATGCGGCGGTGGGGCTCCATGTGGCGGTGGTCCACCATGAGGCGGCGGCATTCCGTGTGAAGGTGGTGCGCCGTGATGTGGGGGAGGGGCGCCATAGGCCATATGTGGAGGCGGCCCTCCTTGAGGAGCTCCATGCGGTGGAGCAC